GCGACGAGGAGGAGGAGGCGGCGCGGCAGGCGGCCGCCGCAGCCGCAGCCGCGGCCGAGGCGGCGGCCGCTTCCCGGCCGTCGCCGCCGCCGCTGAGCGAGGAGCGCAGCTTCAGCGAAGACATGCAGAGCGGTCTCTTCGACATACAGATGCTCGCCTCGTTGTACTGAGGGCCGGCGGAAGCGCCAGGCACCACACGACCCCGGCCGCCGGAGGACCGGACCGTCAGAAGCTCCCCCCGAACACGTGTGGCAGCGCGCGCAGGGGCGCGTTTTGACACACACGTAATACATAAACAAAACGTGATGCTGATGGAAGTGACGACGAGAGCGAGGGCGGGGTGGGTCGGGACGGGGTGGGGCTTTGGGGAGGGGTCCGGGGTGGGGTGGGGTGGGGCGGGTGTCGGAGGAGGGGATTTCGGACGCCGGCTCTTGTGGCGAGGACGACGGCTTCTAAGGAAGCCGTCGTCTGCGCCTTGTCTGTCGTGTGAATCGTGCGTGTGCGAGAGCCTTTTGTTGTGAAGTTCTTTCTATAGCTGAGAGGGTATTTTAAGAATTCTGTAACTCGCAGACGCTAACGTCAAAATCTCGAACATCCGTACGCGATCCCTTAGTGTCGAAGAGCGTGGATCGATCGAGCGCCGAGGATGGCCGGGCCCCAGGATGTGGCTAGGAATTGCCGCGCTGGTTGCTCTCCATGCAAGCCCCTCTCTAGCGCAAGATCTGCGAGATGGCCAGGTGCTTCTCCCCTCGGGCGGGAAGTGCTCCACCCTAGCTATGATGGGCACGGGATTGCGGCGAGACTTCCTCTTCACCATGCCGTGCGCGACCCGTGCCGAGGGCGGAAGCCACTCTTGCTGCTCCTACCGCGGCAACGGCTGCTCCTCGTGCTGCTACAGAGGCTACATGAATGCGGACTGCTGCCCCTGCTTCACTGACACGGACAGCGACGGCATCATGGACCTCGCCGACCCCGACTCGGACGCCGACTGGGACGGTATCCCGGATGCCGAGGAGAGCACGGGCGACTCGGACAGCGACGGTATCCTGGATGCCAAGGAGAGCACCGGAGCCTGCTGTTCTTGTAAGCCCAAGCAGAAGTCGCGAGCGCGACGCCTCGCAAGCAAGGACGAATTCGGTCTGGAAGAAGTCGACCTGAGCAAACTTGACACCGCTCCGAATACGGGTGAAGTACGACGCCAGCTGGGGCATTACGACAGACGAATTGCCAGCGGCGAGTGCGAAATACGTGGCTACACCCACGCATCATGTGCAGACCCATCAACGGGACGACTGGCGCGCCCGTGTAACGATCCCACTGACTTCCGGTTCAGGCTAAGATTCCCCCTCATCTGGTGCTATACCGATGCTGAGCAAGGGTGGTATCAGAAGGCCGACTCCGAGGAGGGGCACACCCCATATTGTACAGACTGCCGCAATGGCCAGATCATCGGCCCCACCGGCGAGAAATGCTCCACCCTAGCTATGATGGGCACGGGATCGCGGCGAGACTTCCTCTTCGCCATGCCGTGCGCGACCCGTGCCGAGGGCGGAAGCCACTCTTGCTGCTCCTACCGCGGCAACGGCTGCTCCTCGTGCTGCTACAGAGGCTACATGAATGCGGACTGCTGCCCCTGCAGCAAGTTCACTGACACGGACAGCGACGGCATCATGGACCTCGCCGACCCCGACTCGGACGCCGACGGTATCCCGGATGCCGAGGAGGGCACGGGCGACTCTGACAGCGACGGCGTCCCAGACGCCCTCGACGGCCCCGCTGACTTGAATAGCGACGGTGTGCCCGACGCAGAGGAGGGAACGGGCGACTCGGACAGCGACGGGGTGCCAGACGCAGAGGACGAGAACGACTGCTGCCCTTGCGACTCGGACAGCGATGGCATGCCGGATGCCGAGGAAGGCACGGGCGACTCGGACAGCGACGGCATCCCCGACGCCCTCGACCCGGATGGCGATGGCGACGGCGTGCCCGATGCCGACGAGGGCGCGGACGACCCCGACAGCGATGGTATCCCCAACTACCTCGATCCTGACGCAGACGGCGACGGCATCGACGACGCCGAGGTCTCCTCCGAAACCGGAGATGAGCAGGAGCACCCCATCTGCCGCAGAGCGAACACTAACTATATGGACGGACGCACATGTAAGGATCCAAAAGAATTTTAAACTGCTCGCACAACACTGGGCACGGGACTGGCGCGCACTGGCACTAATACGTGTAGAGTCCAAATTCTTTTTCTCGACGACGCTGGGTGCGCCGCGCCGTGTTTGCAGCGCCTTGCAATGTCCTACCAAAGCAGAGAGAGGTCCGAGGCGGTCAAGTCTCTGACCCAGGACGACCTGGAGGAGATCCGTGAGGCCTTCAAGCTCTTCGACACCGACGACTCCGGAAAGGTGTGCCGCCCCACGTGTGTGTGGGGACGCGATGAGGCTCGCGGGTCGCGGGCCGAGAGGCGCGGCGGAGGAAGGCGGAGGCCGGTGCGGCACCGGCTGGCCGGCGGCGGATGCAGCGCTGAAGGGCCGTCGCGCCGTGCGCCTCCTACATCTGATCCCACCTCACCCTGGCGTGACAGATCGATGCGGACGAGCTGAAGGTTGCGATGCGTGCGATGGGGTTCGAGCCCAAGCGCGACGAGGTGCGCAAAATGATCCAGGAGTCGGATAAGGCGCGCGAGCCTCCGCGCCCATCGGCCGCCGTCGCAAAAAAGGCTCCACCCGGCTCACCGCCTCGCCTCACAGGACGGGACCGGACAGATCCCGTTCGAGACCTTCCACTCGGTGATGGCCGTCAAGATGTCGCAGCGAGACTGCCGCGAGGAGGCGCGCGGAGCTATGGGGAGATATGGGTATATATGGATGTATCCCAGATGTGGCAGCGAGACTGCCGCGAGGAGGCGCCCGGAGCTATGGGGAGATATGGGGAGATATCCCAGATGTCGTAGCGCGGCTGCCGCGAAGAGGCGCGCGCGCGGAGAGGGGGCGGTATGTGCGGTGTGGCCATGGAGCCCCTCTCACGGGAGATGTGGGGAGATATGGGGAGATATCCCAGGTGTGGCCATGGAGCCCCTCTCACGGGAGCCCCGCCCTCGCCCGTGGCCGAGCCGTTCGTCAAGAGCAGTGGAGTCGTACTCTTGGTACGCAAGCAGCCGCGCCACCCTGCCTTGCTGGCACTAGTTTCTCTCTTCCCTGTCGCAGGCCATCAAGGCGTTCCGACTATTCGACGACGACGAGACGGGGCGCATCTCGCTCAAGAACTTGCGGCGCGTCGCCAAGGAGCTGGTACCCGAAGCCACCCTCCCCTACCCCCACGGTACCCGAACCCACCCTCCCCTCCCCCACAGTGCCCGAACCCACCCTCGTGCAGGGCGAGAACATGACGGACGGCGAGCTGCAGCAGGTGCCCCGCGCAACTCTCTAGCTCGAAGATACCCGCGGGGCCTCCCGCCCATTTTATTTTGGGGGGACGTGGGGATGTGGGGCAGCCGCCTTCTTCTCTGCACTGGCGCGCGGAGACGTCTACCTGTACCCCACCCTCTCGTAGGTCATCGACCACTGCGGCGGCCCCGAGATCTCGATGGAGGACTTTTGCAACGTGCTGCTCAAGGCGCAGGCAAAGCAGCAGGCGGAGAGCCGCAAGGCCTCGAAATGATACCCCCCGCTCGGCGGAGGAGGGGGACGGAGTCTTGTGAGTTCGAGTGGTGTCTGTTCGTACGAGAGCGGTACGTCGCGTTGTCCGTGGGCATCGCGCGCGCGGCGAGTGTGGTGGGGGGGGAGCGCCGCGCGCAGCACGCTCGGGGGGGGGGGGTCACCCGTCGAGCGTCGGTCGCATGTGTCTCGAGGTACGAGGAGTTTTTCTGGTGGGGTCGATTGGCGGGGCATCGATTATGATTTATGTTTACTTCCCGCTGTTTTCTCTCTCGCCCCGCACCGGGCCACCGGCCACCGCAAATTTTGATCAGCAAATTTCGAGGGCGGCCGCAAATTTTGAGGTAGATTTTGAGATTGTCAAATCACGTCCGTCTTGCCCGCAGGATAGAGCATAGGCGGCGAACACTAACGGCATGGGTCGCTTGAGCGAGCCACGGGAGGTAGGCGAGGAAAGCTAGCGACCGCATGAGTCCATAAGATCGCGCTGTCGGGAGGATATTACGAAACCAAAACACGATACGGAATACGAATCTCCAAAACCCAAAAGGAATGAAATCCCTTATGGATATAATCGCCTAATAATCTCTGGGCGGAGATGGCGGTATTATAATATAGCGGACTATAATGCCCGGGAACAGCCCCTCCTGGCCCGAGTGCGGGCGCGAGGGACAAAGAATAAAGACGGGCAATCAGATGTAGCCGAAGGCGCCGAGGCAAGCGGTGTAAGCTGCGGCGGCTTTGTTCGGGTCGGTCTCGGAGGCGGCAGCTGCAGCAGCAGCGGCATAGGCTTTGAGCTCGCCGGGGTCGGTGGAGGGCGTAATGGAGGGGCCACCTGTTTTCGAGGGAGGCGTGACGAATTTGAGGGTCTCATATGCGAACAAAACAAATATGCGCCCAGGTTTTCTCGCGATGTCCACCCCGCCGCGCCGCTCGCGCCGCTCGCGCCGCCTCGCCGCCCCCGCCTCCACGTCCACCGCCCCCTCGCCGATCACGCCGCCGCCCATCCGCCTCCTCGACCTCCCCACGGAGCTCCTCGCGCGCGCCCTCTCTCGCTGCGACCCCGCCGACATCGCTCGCGTCGCGGCCGTCTCGCTTCTCTTCCACGCCTCGCTCGTGGTAGAGGCCATCCGCTTGTGGGCGCAAGAGCGCGGCTTCGAGCTGCCGGCGCAGCCGGAGGGCGAGGGCTCCGCCGTGCGGTGGCTGTGCTTCGCTGCGCTGCTGTGCGAGTCCAACCCGCCGGCGAGGGCGGCAGCAGGCGAAACGCACAGCGTCTTCATCGACGGCGAGGGGCGGCTCTCGTCGTGCGGGTCAGCGGCAACGGAGGGCGAGGAGGAGGACGACGACGAGGAGGAGGAGTTTCCAGGCCTTCTCGGCCACGGCGAGGGCGTGACGCAGCTCAACACGCCGACCCGCCTCCCGTCGGCGCTGGGCGGCGAGCGCGCCGTGAGTGTTTCGGCTGGATCCGAGCACAGCCTTGCCCTCACCGCCGACGGCGGCGTCTGGAGCTGGGGCAGTAATGGATGGAGTGGCCGGTTGGGCCACGGCGGCCAGCAGCCCCAGTGGCAGCCGAAGAAGATCGAGGCCTTTGCGGGGCAGCGCGTCGTTGCTGTGTCGGCTGGAGATGGCCACAGCCTCGCCCTCACCGCCGACGGCGCTGTGTGGAGCTTTGGCTTTGGATACTTTGGCCAGCTGGGCCACGGCGACCAGCAGGACCAGTGGCTGCCCAAGAAGATTGAGGCGTTGGCTGACCAGCGCGTCGTCGCTGTGTCCGCGGGATGCGACCACAGCCTCGCCATCATCGCCGACGGCGCCGTCTGGAGCTGGGGCCGTGACGGTTTTGGCAAGCTGGGCCACGGTGACGAGCAGCGCCAGCTGCTGCCCAAGCAGGTCGAGGCCTTGGCTGGCCAGCGCGTCATCGCTGTCTCGGCTGGATATCGCCACAGCCTCGCCATCACCGCCGACAACGCTGTCTGGAGCTGGGGCGATGGAGGCCTCGGCCAGCTGGGCCACGGCGGCCAACAGAACCAGCTGCTGCCCAAGAAGGTTGAGGCCTTGGCGGGGCGGCGCGTCGTCGCTATCTCGGCAGCGTACAGCCACAGCCTCGCCCTCACCGCCGACGGAGCCGTCTGGAGCTGGGGCTCGGGAAGCTTAGGCCGGTTGGGCCACGGCGACGAGCAGAACCAGCTGCTGCCCAAGCAGGTCGAGGCCTTGGCCGGGCAGCACGTCGTCACCGTGCTGGCGGGAGAGGACCACAGCCTCGCCCTCACCGCCGGTGCCGTCCTTACCTGGGGCAAAGGCAAGCGCGGCTGCCTTGGCCACGGAGAGGACCTGTCGAACCAGCTGCTGCCCAAGAAGATCGAGGTGTGGGCGCCGGGGCAGTGAGCAGGAGGGTGTGGGTGCGGGCGGCGAGGAGCATTAGGGCCCGTCTGATGCTCGCGAGCTGCGCCGCCGGCGCGGCGAGCAATGCGCGTTTGCACATTCTTTTGACGTGCATAGAGTGCACAGCCACAGCGCTCAGCGCGCTGCGCGTATGACCCGCTGAGGCTGAGCGAAGTGCTGCTTCGATCGTGGTGGTATGGGCCCACATATTGTTTCTCCGCTTTGCCGAACGGCGCGTGGCGCGGTGGGGGCTCCTGTGCACGCAATCTGTCTTGGTGTCGGAGTTGCGAGGGTTGACCGATGACCCCCCAAAGCGCAAAGGCCCCCACTTTTTGCGGGCCTTCTAATTTTATCCGTCTCTATTATCACTGTCATTTGGAGATGGAGCCAGCCAACGCAAGGCCCGACTCGTCAACCACGGCCATCGACTCGCTAAACACACGGCCTCGCTCCCCCGGCCTTGAGCAAGGGAAGAAGAGTATCGCTGTGCCCAGCACGGACGCCGCGTCAAAAACAGGCCGGGGGCTGTGGCGGAAGCCTCAGAGAGGACCTCCACCCAGCCCTTCCTGTGTCGGAGCGTGCAAGTGAAGAGACCGGAGCGGAGTGTGCTCGGAGGGCGCGTATCCATGCTCGCACCTGCACAAGGCAAGCCGAACCCGCCGGATACGCACTGACCGACGGGGTCGCCCGGATTGAAGGCCATCTCACGGCCAGACATCGCAGTGTAGCCGGCGGGGCACGCGTCGCTCAGGTCGCACGTCGGAGCATACGTGCAGCAGGTGGGCGTGTTGTTGACGTGTATTCCGGGAATTGACCCCGGCTGGCCGTCGGGACAACGGGGCTGAGGCAGCCAGCCGTCCTCGCTGGTCCAACCAGTGTCTGAGCCGCAGACCCACGGCCGTCGCCGGACGCAGTCGAATCCGTGGACCATTTCCGCGGTCTTCCATTGGACATGCGACCACATCGCGAGAGGGTTACGCGGATTGCTCGCCTGGGAGCCGACCGGCAGTGGCCCCGGCCCCGGCCCCAAAGGGGTAAGGTCTGGCTCCGGCGACGGCTCTGGCTCCGGCCAGTAGCTCGCGTAGTCTGAGTGCTCGCACCCATGCTGATCGACGTCGAACGAGGGCATTCGATTCGGGCACGTATCAGTGACATAATGAACGGGCAGGAAGAGAGTAAGCCTCGGCTTGCCGCGATCTTCGTCCCACGGGCTGGGGCAAGGCCAGCCGGTGCAGTTCCGTTGCCACTCTGGCCTCGTCTTGCCGTCGAAGAAGGACGCGGGCGGCTGTACGCACGCGGATCGTCGACAAACGAGCTGTCAATGTTTCCATCCACCTCGGACACACCGCCTCGAGAAACCGTTGCATCTGGGCCAAACCCACTTATCGGAGCCCATACGCGCGATCCGTCGTCGCGGTTCGCACCTATCGTGACGGCGAGGGTCTGCATCCGCAATGGCGATCCCTGCTGCGCCGCCGCGCTGGTGGTCTCGCCATTTAAACCCCACCGTTTGTGGCCGCCGAGTACGATAGTTGCGAGGTTGAGACGGCTCACGAGCGGTCCTGGGGCGCTGCGCTCGTTGACGTGAGATGTATGCAACGCGGCTATTATGGTGAAGTAGGAGAAGAGCGTGCGAATTGCGGCGGCCGCAGCCGGCCCCGATTCGTCGGTTCCGCAGTTCTCGTCGGCAGCCGTGAGCGAGTAGCGGTCGAAAAAGGATCTTGCGCAGCCTTCCTCGGGGTCCTCGAGCTTATCGCTGGCATTCGTTCGGTTAAAGCAAGCCCAGATGCGCTGATGGTTGGAGAGGCTTTGTACCAGTGCCGAGGCATCCCAGCCCCCAATGCTCGCTTCCTTCTCCACGTGCTTGATCGCAGCAGTGAGGGTGTCGTGGCCACACACGCTCTCAAAGGCGGAGAGCTGATTCACCAGATCAAAACTCAGGCATCCGGCCGAGATCTTTATCTTGGGCCGTGTCTGGTTGGTGCAGAGGCAATCTTCGACGGCAGTTGACGGCGCACAGAGGTCCGTGTCCGCAACCGAGTCCACGCGAACCACGCAGCCGTTCTGCTCGGTGCTACAGAGAGTATGCTGCACAAGGACGAGCACAAAGCCCGCTAGAAAGCTCAAGCCCAGCGTCGCCATCACGACCAGATTGATTGACGGCCTCATGTGTGTCAGAAACAGCGGCGACGCTTGTCCGCCTTCTTCTGTGCATGGCGCCAAAGCCTCGAGCACAGAGGCAGAGTCTCGGCATCGGCATCGGCAGATCGTGAGGCATGTGTGCAAGGCGCGCGATAACGAGCAAGTCGTTACGCCCCGATTTTAATACCATGTAGCGTTCACTCGCCCGCCTCCCTCAAGCCACGAACGCACCGCCGCTTCGTCGCCTCGCAAGACCGCATCGACGTACGGCGCTGGCTGTGGCGCGTCGTAAGACATTATTCTTCTCTGCTCAGCAATCGCTCACCAGGTAACCTACGCGGAGGGTACGCGTCCGTCCGCGGGGCGCCTTACTTGCGACCGATGTTTCTTTTTTGCGTGAATCGTGTCGCACGCCTTTGATTGTAAAATTCTTTTTTGTTACGAACTCCGGAGAGTGCTATAAGAACCAACCAATCACAGAACACTCGAACGGGCTCGTGGAGCAGAGCCACACGCCACGCAGCAGCCATAAGATGCCTTGAGCACACATGCAAGCGCCCATGGTCATATCTCGTCGTGCACCTCGCCTGACACCAAAAGGAACTCTGAGTGACACACACACAAACACAAAAGGACGAGAAAAAAGAAAAACAGGCGGAAGTGTCCAGGTGCATCAGCCTTGTGCGGTGCCGTGGGCCATGATAGGGAGAAGTCGTATCCTCGCTGGGAGCGCTGGGCTCCGCGCCGGAAGCGCCGGGCTCGGCGCCGTACTTGCGCGGCCGCTGCTCTCGCGAGGCGCGCATGGGGCCTCCACGAGCGGCATCGGCGCTGCGGCCGGCCTGCTGCGCTCCAGAGCAGCGGCGGATCCGGAGGCGTGGGCGGGCGGACCTGGCGGCCTGCGGTCGCAGGCCGCACGGCAGCTGTCGGTCTCGGCGACGCAGCTGCGCTCGCTGCGCGCGCTGGAGGAGGAGGCGAACCGCTTCCCCGACGACGCGCACCGGCAGCAGCGGCTGATGGAGGCGTGCAACGCGCAGAAGCAGCCGCACGTCGCGGTGCGGCGGTTCGAGTGCGGGGCGTATGCGGCGGACGAGGCGGTGGCCAAGGAGTACATCCGCGCGCTCGCCCTCTCCAACCAGCTCGCCCGCCTCTCGCTGCCGCAGCTCATCGCGTCGCTTGACGCGAGCGGTGCGCTGGCGCGCGACGAGTCAGCGCGCTACGCGGCGGGCGGGGTGGGAGGCGGCGGCGGCGGCGGGCTGGGGGCGGGTGCGTCGCGCGGGACGCCCGAGACGCCGTTGCATATCCAGTGGCACGAGTCGCCGCGCGCGCAGTTTTGGAAGCTCCTTCGCTCTCTCGCGCTGACGGGCGCGCTCGTGTTTGCCGCGTACACGCTGCTGGGCGAGCAGGCGCGCGGGAGGAGAAGGGGAGAGGGAGGAGAGAGGGAGGAGGAATGGCGCGTGTGCTGCTGGGCGAGAGCCGCTCTGCCTCGGACCTGTCCTAGACCCTTCCTACACCTTTCCTAGACCTTTCCTAGCCTGCCGTGGGACCTGTCTAGACCCTTCCTTAGACCTTTCCTAGACCTTTCGTACACCTGTCCTATTCCCGCAGGCGCGCGGGCTGCCTCGTGGGCTCGGCTTCTCAACGGAGGTCCAGCCGGTGCACGGCTCTGCGAAGCGGTTCAGCGACGTGTGCGGCGCCGAGGAGGCGATCGCCGACCTGAAGGACATCGTCGAGTACCTGCGAAACCCGAAACGCTTCACGCGGCTCGGAGGCAAGCTGCCCAAGGGCGTCCTTCTCACCGGACCGCCCGGCACGGGCAAGACGCTGCTCGCGCGCGCGGTGGCGGGCGAGGCGGGCGTGCCCTTCTTCTACATGTCGGGCTCCGAGTTTGAGGAGGTCTTTGTCGGCGTCGGCGCCAAGCGCGTGCGCGAGCTGTTCTCGGCGTGATACCGCACCACCCACGGGAGGGAACCCACACTGGGTTCGGTACGGTGGGGGTATGGGACTAGGCGGCGAAGAAGCGCTCGCCCTGCATCATCTTCATCGACGAGATCGACGCGATCGGGTCGCACCGCAACCCAAAGGAGCAACAGGCGAGAGTTAGATTGGAAGAGTTGGAAAGGCGAGGGACAGTCAGGCTCGGACTGGACACCAACGCGGTATGGGTGGACGCGGGACAGATGATGACGGCACGCGCGAGCGACACACAGACACACAAACTCACAAGACACTCAGGCGATGAAGATGACTCTCAACCAGCTGCTCCTAGACCTCTCCTAGACCTTTCCTAGACCTTTCCTAGACCTTTCCTCTTCCTGCGCAGGCGATGAAGATGACTCTCAACCAGCTGCTGGTCGAGATGGACGGCTTCACGCAAAACACGGGCGTCATCGTCCTCGCCGCCACCAACTTCCCAGAGGCGCTCGACCGCGCGCTCGTGCGGCCGGGCCGCTTCGACACCAACGTCGCCGCGCCGCTGCCCGACGTGGGAGGCTGTGAACAGCGTCTCTTCACACCTCCAGCCGTGAACAGGTCGTCGTGCCGCTGCCCGACGTGGGAGGCTGTGAACAGCGTCTCTTCACACCTCCAGCCGTGAACAGGTCGTCGTGCCGCTGCCCGACGTGGGAGGCTGTGAACAGCGTCTCTTCACACCTCCAGCTGTGAACAGGTCGTCGTGCCGCTGCCCGACGTGGGAGGCCGGCGGGCGGTCCTCGAGCTGTACACGAAGCCGGTGCCGCTCGATCCCGACGTCGAGATCGAGGTAATCGCGCGCGCGACGCCCGGTTTCTCGGGCGCGGACCTGTCCAACCTGGTCAACGTGGCGGCGCTGCACGCGTCGCATCTGGAGAAGAAGCGGGTCGGGATGGCGGACCTCGAGTATGCGTGCGACAAGATCCGGATGGGCGCCGAGCGAAAGTCCGCCGTCATCTCGCCGGAGAACCTCAAGGCAACTCACGCCCCCACCGACCCACCCACCCGCCCACCCAACCACCCACCCACCGCCAGCAGCACCGCCACCACACACCACCACCACCGCCGCCACCACCACCCACCCACCCACGCACCGCCCACCCGCCCAACCACACGCATACGAGCGGGGGCACATCTCCCCCACATCTCCCCCCTATCTCCCACATCTCCCCCCTATCCCCCACATCTCCCCCCCCTCTCCCCCACCATCTCCCCCACATCTCCCCCACATCTCCCCACAGGTGACGGCCTACCACGAGGGAGGGCACGCCCTCGTGGCGCTGCACACGGCGGGCTCTCAGCCCATCCACAAGGCGACCATCGTGCCGCGCGGCAACGCGCTCGGGATGGTCTCGTACCTGCCCGAAAAGGACCAGCTCAACCTGTCGCGCGAGCAGATGCTCGCGCACCTCGACATCTGCATGGGCGGCCGCGTGGCGGAGGAGCTCATCTTCGGCAAGGAGAACGTCACCACGGGCGCCTCCTCCGACCTCGCGCAGGCGACGTCCACCGCGCGCAACATGATCATCAAGTACGGCATGTCGGACGCGCTCGGACCAGTCTACCACGGCGACGGCGATCTCTCTCGGCTCTCCTCCGCCGGCCGCGAGGCGGTCGAGGCGGAGGTGAAGCGGCTCTGCACTGCCGCGGACGCGAACGCGCGGCGCATCCTCACCGACCACGCCGACCAGCTGCACCGGCTAGCAGACGGCCTCCTCGAGTTCGAGACGCTCTCGCCGGACGACATCCGCGCCATCCTCGCCGGCCGGCCGCCTGCGTGCGCCGCCGCAAAGGCAAAGGCGCCCGCCGACGCTGCGAGCAGCTCGGAGGCGGCGCCCGCGGCGCCGGCCAAGGAGAAGCCCGTGCGCAAGGCGGGCATCTTCTCGCGCAAGGTGGACCAGTGAGGGGGGGGGGTGGGAGGGGTGGGGGGGGGGGGCGAGGAGGTTGAGGGGCTGTGTTTTGTGAGCCGCTGGAGGAAGGACGTGAGGGACGGGGAGGCGGGGAGGGGGGGCGGGCGCAGAGATGGCTGCCAGCTGGCACGTCGGAAGTGGCGTCGGCGTTGGCGCGGTGAGGGATGGTGGAGCACCGAGCGGAAGGAGGCGGTGGAGGGGAGAGGCGCGCGCTGAGGTCCGCGCCTCTCGTATTCTGTGCGTGTACAATGTGGTTTATCTCTTACTCGATGTTGTTCCCAAGTGAAAGAAGCGCCGCTGGCTCCGCCTCGCCACACACGCCACGGCCGCTCGCGCGTCGCTCTCCAGAGAGGCGCGATCCGACACGCACACGTCCGTCCGTGCAGCGCGCGCAGCGGCGCAGCCGCCGCGCAGGGCCGTGACCCAACGGGGTCAAGCCTGCATTGTGACACTATTGTGCGCGTACGATCGTCAAGTGCTTTCCCGCACGCCCGCAAGCGTGAACACGCGGTGCCACAGTGAAATGGAACTAGCCTGGGGGAGGTGTGCCCACCACATGGGGGGGGGGGGGGGTCCGAAGCCTGTCATAGCTACGCGTGCCATGGATCGGCGGGCACTTTTAGAGACCAGCGCATAGCGCCATAGGACGTATTTTCTTCTCAATAACAAGGCTGTGAATTTCTTCTCATAACAAGGCTGTGAAAACACAATCGTCACAAGAGAGACTTCGAACAACTTCGAATCCACACACACCAGGCAACAAGTGCAAAGTGGGCCAGCGTGCGGGGACCGGCCTGACACGAGCGAGGGCTAGCACGTGAGGACGTGACCACGCAGCAGCCAAGCCACGTGTTAGCGGCCCGCGGCGCGAGTGCGCTTTGGGCCCGAGCGACTCCTCACTCGACCATGCACTCGACTCCACTTGGGCCTAGCGGGGCGGAGGACGCGAGTTGGAGAGTGAGGAGAGGTGAAGAGAGGCGGCGACGAGGAGGCGGGTTGCGAGTCCTCCGACGACCTTCCTGAATATGGTGCAGCGTTTTGGCTCAGATGGTCAGCCGAAGCCGGAAGGGCCATGCGCTCAATTCGACAAAACTTAGGGGGAAACAGCTGGAAGTAGTGCGTCACCCGCATCCGAAGGTTGACTAATGGGACCGGACCGAAGTGTCGCGAGTCTGCAGAGTAGTCCTCGTTGTCGCCCTGAATCCAGCAATGGCCCTCGGGCACAGGAACTTGAATGGAGGCAGCATCGGACACGGGTCTGACCTCAACTGGTTCTCCGGCTAATGCGCGTACACGTTTGATAATACTCCGAACTCGTCCATCCTTTGTGAGATATGTGATGTTAACCACGTCGCCAACTGTAACCGTGTCCGCGTCAATAGGTGCCGAGATGACAAAGCAGGGCGTCTGTATCGTTGGAGCCATACTTGGACCCATGGCCCGTTTGAACCCCAAGAGCGATCTGTAGAGGAGGCCCAGGAGGGTATCTGCAGCACGATGACGAGCAAGGGTATCTGCAGCTTCGTCAATAGCGGCGATCAGCTCATGCTCGTCATCGTCCTTGCCCCACAGGCCCCAGGCCCGAAGGCGGCGCATGTTGGCCAAGACTTCAGCATGAAATGACAATGGCGCCATTCGAGGCACGAGCGCTCGCTCAGCTCCGTGCGCAACCTGATAGCCCCTGCTGCCTGCCGCGGTAGGCGTGGCGCAACGGCATATGGTAGTCAGCGCGCGCGCAAAGAATGTCCGCGTCGCACCCATGGCGCGCCTCTCCTCTTGATTCGACCTGCTTTCGACCACTAAATGTGGCGCGCGCGGCGGGCCGATTTCGACCCATCACAAATGTGGGCAGCCAAAACCTCCCTTGGCTTCCCACACACAAACCCCCCTTCATGGGGGGAGCAGCAAACGAGGTAGTCTCTGCGAAATCACTGTCCCAGTGAAATTGCCCAAGAGGGACGCCGGGATGGGCTGGCGTCGCCTCCCCTTCAAACGGGTACCAACCAGAAGTCGAGTAGGATCTGGGTCGAGGTCGGGATTGGGTAGTGCGCGTTGATGTGGGCGAGCGCCTCTTGGATGACGCGGTACTTCTTGTGGCGCGCCCTCTGTTTGGAAAGCGGAATTCCTTGAACAGTCTGTGCAGTTTCTTCTTCGTAAAATTCTTCTTCTTCGCACATTCTTGTTTTTCACCCCAAACCCACGTCGCGCAAAGTGTCGTGCACCCCATGCGCGCACCCCCACGCCCCACCCTCGCGCGCACGAGGCACGTGCCATCCGTGATCCACGACCGCACGAGCGGGTGCGGAGTGCCACACAGCAGTCCTGTGAAGAGGAACATCACCTGCTTTGAGGATGATGAAATTACCTTAGTGAATTGCCGCTATTCAACCGGAGGACCTGCCTTAGCCAGCACGACAGACCCTCTTCAGCGATGCTCCTGGTGGATGTCCTCCTCAGTGTGACCGCCCTGACATCGCTTGCCGTCCCAATCGCCTACGTCAAGGGACAATGGCTCGCGAGCAGTCGAGGGTGCTCACTCGGCGGGCGGTGCCCGGAAGGGCACAGACGCCGCACGAGAAAGGTGCGGTGTCGCTTGGAGCGGGAGATGCACGGGTCGTGTCTGCTCAAGGATACGTCCACGCGGAGCCACGTGACCCGGCCCGCACGTGGCCTCTACAGATCGTGTTGATATTCCGCTTGTACTCTTTGTGTGTTTACGCCGGCAGCAGAGCGTTGTCCCTGTGCGTGTGTGGACCGACTCTTTGCGCGCCCAGTGGCGATGGAGTCTAGCATGGGTCGTTGGTTTGTGCTTGGGTGCGTGACTACCCTCATGGCTGACGGCTTGCTTGCTTGCTTGCGAGGTGTGCGTGTGCGCTTGTATTTTTGTCCGCGCGTGTCGATGTGTCCGTTCCAGTGTCCCCCAGTCCACACATCCTTGTCGTGCCAGTGTGCTGTGAGAGAGAGGTAAGTAAGTACCACCTTCGTAAGGAAGTAATGAGGTGAAGAACGGGCGGCAGGAAGACAGCCGCGCTCGCCGGCGACGCCAACGAGGCATCATCCGCCCGCAGGAAGGGTGCAGGAGAGGATCTTGGCCGACGCAAGGCCAAGAAGAACCCAGACCAGGCGCGAAGAGCCGCGACGACCCAGAGAATTGCGCGTTGGCCGTCGGCGTCGCAAGTCCTTGCGCAACAGGTCCTCAAAAAAGCTCACGCGACTACACCACATGAACATGAACATGCGCACACATACGGCTCTACAGCAAGAGAACGTATCAGAAAGCGGTGGCCGCACACCCGATCACACGGGTGCGCTGCTCCGCCGCCTGAACATGAGCTGTCCCGACGCCCGGCGCTCCGTGACGGGGCCCGACCGCGTGCTAGCCCACCACCTAGTGCCGCCCCTAGCCCGGCTGGACGGGGCAGAGGAGCCCTCCTTGACGAGCGTGTGCGAGAGCACCGCGAGGGCGGCCGCGCGGTAGTCTGGCGTGTGGAACCACGGCAGCGCGATCTGCGAGTAGAGCTTGTCGTCGACGAGGTGCTGCGGGGTCTGGGCCATCACCTGCTCGAAGCGGCAGCCGTCGTCCTCGGGATCGAGCATGTGCACGAGCAGCAGCCTGCCCATCTCCACGCCGCCCGCCGGCTCCTCCGGCTCCGAGTCCGCCCCCGAGCCAGAGGACGAGGAGCGCACGCGCTCGCTAGCCTCGCCCACCGCTCCGCCGTGCTTGGGCTGCGCCCGGCCCGACGCCTCGCCGAGCGAGACTTGGCCGCTATGCACGTTCGAGGAGAGCGACAGGGAGCCGCGCTCGAGGCACTTCCCGTTGACGTCGCCGTCGCCGTCGACGTCCACGCCCGTGAGCTCCTCGATTCGATTCGTCAGCTTCGCCAACCCGCTGGCCGCCTCTTGGCGCTGCCTCGTCCGCTCGGCGGCGCACACCGTCTCCTTGAAGGCTGCTCGCCAGCCACACACCTCTCTAGCAAGCGCCTGGTGGCCACGTGAGACTGTCTGAGACGGGCTGTCGGAAACGGCCAGCCCCTGTCTCTCAACGTGGAGCAAACGCGCGAGGGGCCGCAGAGAGGGCGAGCATCAAGCGCTGCGGGCACCTCCCCGTCGGCGCCCTCTCATCTCGGGTGCTCTCGGGTGCTTTCGTGGGGAGCACGCCTCCCCGTCGGCGCCCTCAAAGGTGCGCGCGTTGAGAACGAGGAGCGGCAAGACCCGCCCGCCGCCAACGCTCGTGGCACCGCCCGCGGGAGCCTCGACGGCGACGCAGCCGGCGACCGTCGCGGCGAGCTGAGACGCGACGAGGCGCGCGCCCGGGTTGTGTCGCGAGTAGAGGAGCGTCAGGCCAGGCCCAGGGCCCAGCCCCGCCGCCGGCTTGAGCTCCTTGTGCAAGTACAGGTCGGCCGACTCGCACTCCTTCTTGGCCGGCGCGCGCGCCATCGCCCTCGCTGCGACCCGCCTCGCCGCCTCCGCCGACGCCATCGTGGCTCGCTCCAGCTGGAGCTCCGCGAGGGAGCGCCGCCTTCCGCCTCCGCTCGAGCTTTCGCCGACCCGCGACTCTCGGGAATGGGTCGACAGATCGCTGGCCACACTGGCTATCTCATCCCCTCCGCCCGCCTGCTTGCCCGTGGCCGCCTCGCCGCCGTCGGCGGAGAGCACGACGGCGACGATCTTCTTGAGCGTCACCAGCTGGAAGACCTCGGAGCGGAGCCACGGCACCACCGCCCGGCTGCCGAAGAGGTGCGCGCGGCACTCGTCGGGGCACTGATCGCGCAGCTCCTCGAGCGGCGCGCCTATGCCCTCGGGTGATCTCGGGTGATCTCGGGGAGCTCAGGTGAATCTCGGGTGATCTCGGGTGATCTCGGGTGATCTCTCGGGTGAGCTCGGCGCGCCTCCGTGGTTCTCGTTCGACTCGTGCACGACGACGACCGGCTTGCCTACACAGGAAGCTTCCGAGAAGGTCCCGGAGGGGCCTCGGCAACTCGTGCACGAGCACGGCCGGCTCGTGCCCAGCCGGCAGGCGGCCGTGTACTCGATCTGGCAAGCCTTGGAGGCGAAGTAGCCGCGCGAGAGGAAGAGGAGCACCACGTCCGAGGCGGCGACGTTGTCGGCGAGCGTGCCGAACTCCTCCAGGTCGTCGACGTCAAGGAAGACCTTCATCTTCGGCGCGAGCGTGGCGAGCCGCCGCTTGATCATGTGCACCTGTGGTCGGGTTCGGGTATACTGTGGGGTAGGGGAGGGTGGGTTCGGGAACCGTGGGGTAGGGGAGGGTGCCCACCTGGTCCTGGCCGCTGCTCCACGTGTGCGAGAGGAAGAGGTGGTACTCGCCGCCCGCCTAGGAGAGACCCGCCGCGGCTCGCACGCACCGAGCAGCTGGCGGCGGGCGGCCACCTCGCGCCGTCGGCCTTGGAGCGCAAGCGGGGCGGCTGGCGGGTGGAGCGCCACAATAGCTGGCGGCGCCGCTTAGCGAGCTTGAAGCGCCGGGCGACCAAGAAGAGAGCGAGCGCCTGCCGACACCGAGACGTGTCAAAGAAGCGCCCCTCAGGGGCCCTTGATGTCGCCGCGAAGCGGGGGTGCCAAGAGGGCGATGACTCCCGCCGCCGGGAGGACGGTGGTGAGGAGCACTCTGCGCAAGTGCTCGTCCTCTTCCTCGGGCGGGTCTTCGCAATCAACGCCGCGGTACCCGCCCGTGCAGACGCACACGCCTGTGGGGCGGGGGGGGGGGGGGGGGGTAGGGGCCGCCCGTCAACCGGATGACACTGTGTGGACGTGCCCCAGTGAGGATGCGCCGCGCCTCCCATATCGCACTGGCCGTGGCCCGAGCACTGGATCTCCTACACAGGGAGAGTCCGTCCGTCCGAGACGGTTCCGAGAAAGCGACGAACTCGCGCTATCTCCAGCACTGGCGGTCCTCGATATATGCCCGCCCGTCCTCGATGTACCGAATGCCCGCCCGCTCCGTCGCCCCGAGCGCCGCACCCCCCCCGAAGAGGCGGCAGCGGCGCTGCGCCCATGGCGGCGTCGGGAAGGCGAGCACGGCGTTGGCGGTGGCGCGTGCCTCGGGAGGCCACACGACCATCTCCGGGTCGCCGCTGTGCGTCGACGAGGAGGCGCCGTCGGGCGCCTGCAGCACGAGCATCCCGACGGTGATCTGCCCATTGGCGTCGAAGGCGATGTCTCCGTAGAACTCGCGCAGCGAGCTCGCCGCCAGCTGCTGCGCGACCGCCTCGGTCTCGAGCGTGCCGGCGGCCTCAATGGCGGCGACCAGCGCGGCGACGCCCCCAAAGGCCGAGGCGCCGTGGTAGGAGACCTCCGCCTCGTTGTGCCGCGCGGCGTATCGCGCGGCGAAGTCGGCGGAGGTCATGCCGCTGAAGTTGCCCACGGTGGGCACGGTGCGGTGCCACGGCGATGGTCCGAGGGCGTACTCGGCTTGCCACCAGCCGTCGCGCGTTGAGGCGGCGAACGAGGCGGTACCGACCGAGGAGGAGACGGAGAGGGCGAGCGGCGACCAGTCGAGCCGCTCGAGCGCCGCGATGATCGCCTTGGTCGTGCTCAGGTAGGTGCAGCCGACGAGCACGTTGACCCCAGCGTCGCGGAGCTGCCGCAATGCGTCGTCGACCTCGTTCGTATCCGTCGGCGCCTTCGGAATCGTGACGATCAGCGCGACGCCCGCGCCATCCCGTGCCACCTCGAAGCCGTGCTTCGCGCCCAGCGCCTCGCCGTTCGCGCACTGCGACTTGGCGAAGAGCGTGTCCGCCTGGATGAAGCCGACGCGCAGGCTCGCGAGGCAGCCACCGCCGCCGGCGAAGCACGGCGACTGCGAGTCAGTGGCGGCGCTCGCGGGGGGCTGATTCGCGTCGACGTCCGCCGCCGCCGCAGCGATGGCGGCGAGCGGGTTGTCGTGGTCTACGAGCGCGGCGGTCAGCAGGGGGCAGGGGCGGTCAGCAGGGGCGCGCGGTAGGTCGCGCGAGGAGGGCGGCGGGCTGGCTGGGCGGCGGGCGGCGCTGCTCACAGACGGCAGCGGGCGGATAGAGGCCGAAGGTGAGGTTGTTCTGCGTGAAGACGGAGGTGCTGGCCGCGCCGGCCGAGACCATCAGCAGACCGTCGGCAAAGCTCTGCTGCGCAGCGTACTGCGTGAGCGCTGAGCTGTAGCCGCCCATGGCGAAGTGCGCCCCGTTACCCCGCGTGGCCACCGCCAGAGCGGGCGTGACCTGCGTCTTGCTCGAGGCGTCCCCCACCCATTCGAAGCGCATGCTGAACCGCTGGTCGCCCACCTGCAGCCCGCGAGGGGTGCGCTCGGTCAGCAGCCAGTCGAGAAAAATCTCGACCGAGCCCTTGATCATCTTGGAGTAGGCGAAGTAAGAGTCGCTCGGCGAGACTGAGAGCGGCGCCCCGACCACCACCATCCCGTCAAAGCTCTCGGTCGAAGTGCACAATTGGGGGGGCCGTAAGACACGGCCGCGGTCCCAGCGGGGAGCAGCGGGAGCGTCTCGGAGTAGGCTGAGGAGGTGGTGCCGCTACTCGCATCGTACGCCACGTTGATGCCGGGCGCCATGACGTTGCAGGAGGCGGTGGTGCTCACCACGGCCGTCAGCAGGGTCGAAATCGACATCGCAAGCCCGATTTCGACGCGCGAAGCTGCGCGATTGTGTCCGTTTCGGCGGGCCATTCCTAAGGAGCCGTTCACAGTAGGGTGATTTCACACAAAGGTTGATCAGAAACAAACAAGAGGCGAAAATGGCAGACAGACAGCGAGGGTGTGAGAGGCGGACCTAAGGAAGGTCCTACATTCCAACGCCCGAAACCGCGCTGTTCACAGACCTTGTTATTGAGAAGAAAATACCTTCTATTGCACAACCTAGGTTCGGGAGATGGATTGCGAGAAAGCTGAAAGCCTTTTTCTTCGACTACCTGTGTTAGCGCCAGTTTGGGTCACCGTGGCCATTCTTTTTCGCCGTGTTAGTGCCAGTGCGCGCCAGTCCCGTGCCTAGTGTTGTGCGAGCCCTCGTAAAATTCTTTTTCACAGGAGTCGCTTAGGCGGCTCCCGTGGTGTACCTGTGTTAGTGCCAGTGCGCGCCAGTCCCGTGCCCAGTATCGTGCCCTTTTCAACTTCTTTTTGGCTGCGACGCTGGCCGCCGAGCCGCCGCACAGCCGGTTGGTTTAACGCTCCTGTCGCTCCATGCTCAAGCTCCAGCCCGCTTCGCTCGCTGTCGGCGTCGTATTCGGCCTCATCGCCTTGCTCGTCCTCCGGCCGGAGGGCAGCGTGACCAGTCGTGAGTGCCAGTCGGCTCCCGCCGTGCGTGAGCGGGAAGCGCGGCTGACCCCCGCCGCCCTCGCAAGCTCACAGGTTGAGTTGAGGAGAAGCAGCTGAGGGAGATCAAAGCGGGAGAAGGCGGCACGGCGGCGGCGGCGCGGCGCCCCCCCATCCCCACGCTTCCGGGTCGTGCGTACCGCCTTCGGGCGAGAGTGTCCCCCCAGCGTCTGCTCCCCAGCAGACGCTCCGGTAATCAGGCCGAGAGTACCAGGCAGGTGGGGAGAAGAGCCCAGGGAGGGGAGAGGAGAAGAGCCCAGGGAGGGGGGAGGAGAAGAGCCCAAGGCGGCCTCCCTCTCCCTCCCCTCCCACCGGGCCTCCCTCTCCCTCTCCTCCCTCCGGGCCTCCCTCTCCCCCTCCTACCGCCAAGTCTCGAGGGGCCAGCCGCTGGAAGGGGCAAGCCAGCGGCACGAGGGCTTCAGCCACACAGCTACCAAGGGAACGCGACCCACACAAAGCACCAAAGTTAGGCATACCCCCCGGCGCAGTGTCCCCCGCTATGTGTCGCCGTTTGTCGGGGCACGCTATCCTGTGCAGTCAGGGCAAGTGGGGGCGGGGCGGAGTCCCCAGGCCTTTGTTTCCTGGGACCTCTCTTCCCAGTCCGGGGGTGCGTCGAACCTTCCATCACCCTGGGAACGTCCGGGTGTTGGAAGTAAAGATATATTCCTTTTTCGGGGCCGTGGCGGGTTCGTGGAGTTCTGCATGCACATGTACATGTACATGTTGTTGGCACATGAATTGAATTGGCTATACCGCGCTCGCTCACTCAACAACATCGTAAACCCTGGCGGCGCGGTCCATGGTATCGGCGACAGAGGACAGACATGTATCGGATGTCGTAATTGACCAGCGGGAGCGTTATATGCGTGCGAGCTGACTCTTCGCTCGAGCGATCCCGCCAGATATGCCAGGAATGAGAGGCCGGTGCAACGCCCCCGCACGGCGCGGCGACGCCCCCGCGCCCGGCTTGGCAGCGGCTAGTCGCTGATCGCGTCCGCGCCCTGGTGCGAGTCGAGGAAGAGCAGCTCCTTGTACGTGGCGAGCGTCCACAAGTCCTCGGGCACGTCGCCCTCCGCCTTGTCGCAGACGTCGCGCGCCGCCTCCATCGTCTCGAGCCGCAACTCGCGCGCGGCGGTCGCCTTGGAGTACTCGTCGGCGGCGCCGTGCATCTTTGACAGCCCCGCCTCGACCTTGGCCGCGGCCGCCTAAAAAAAGAAAAGATGCTCGAAAAAAGAAATGTCGGCAGGACCTCGACCTTGGCCTTGGCCGCCTGCAAGCCGGAGAGGTGCGGCCCCTCGACCTACACAGGCAGGCAGGAGACGCGTGGAGGGAAGACGCGGACGGCGCGAGGAGGCCGTCCTCCGCCTCCCACATCTCGCCCCATCTCCGCCCCCTCTCCGCCCCCTCTCCGCCCCCTCTCGCCTCGGCGTTGACCACCGCGGGGATCATATCTCCCCATATCTCCCCATATATCCCCATATCTCGCCTCGGTGTTGACCACCGCGGGGATCACGTGCTGCTTGATCATATCGACCATGC